CCCCAAAACCCCAAAACCCCAAAACCCCAAAACCCCTACATATTTTTACAACATTGAAAATTCAAATTAATATATCTTTAGCTATAATGGAGGTCAAGAAAAAAGAAATAAACAACTCAGAAAAGAAGATCATGCTTAAGGGGCGAAAGAAAAAGAAAGGCTCATCTTCAGAGAGAGATGTGAATACTACATCTTCCTCTGAAAGGAAGAGTATCGTTACGAGTGTGACCTTGGATGGGGCTTTTGATTATGTGAAGGGAAATGGCACAGCTCCTCTGTTCTTTGGTATATTTTTTGCTGTTTCATGCGGTTTGAATGCACTCAGTCTTTACCAGATACCGTTTATGACAAAGATGCCAGACTTTGAATGAAGAAATAGCAGTAGTGCTAACTGGGAAGCATGAACGGTCGAAACTGTCTGTGCAAATACTCAAGAAGGCTTTGAAACAAGGTATGACTGGAGCTCCGAAACCACTATCGATAATTGGATCACACGATTAGGGCTTGAATGCGTTGATAGTTCCAAGATTGGAATCATTGGCTCCTTATTCTTTCTCGGATTTGTACTTGGAGCAGGATTTTTATTAAGATTAGCTGATATCAAAGGGAGGAAACCAATTTTGATGGCCTCACTAATAGTAAGTTTATTCTTCGGAGTGGGATATCTATTCGTTCAAAATATTTACCATATTTACATTCTCACGTTCATTAACGGAATTGTGGGGTCAGTTCGGATATCTTGCTCATACATGTACGAGATGGAAATGATACCTGAGAGCATGAAGAAGAACATTAACTTGCTGTCTGGCACTATGGATTCTTTATGTGTTATCTTTATTGCCTTCTTCTACTATTGAACGAGGTATGGGAACGGGATTCTGCAGATATACATTGTGTTTACTGTGATTGTGTTGGTGATTATGACTCAGATCCCGGAGACCCCAAGATTTCTGTATTCCACTAAACAGTGGGATAGATTGCACAAGTGATTTGACTTGTTTGCTAAGATGAACAGAGGGAATGCTCTGACTGTCAAATTTGATCAGGAGGATCATGAAGTTGAAGATGAAAATGGGAAAATCCGGCCTCCTCTTTGTGAAGACAGACGGAGAGTGATTAATCTAATAGCTATGGTGTTTAACTGGTGAGTTTGTAGCTTTAGTTTTTATGTGCTTGGGTTCTTTGTAAAATATTTCAAAGGGAATATGTACACTAACGCATGAATTATGGGAATTGCCGATGTTTTGGCAAATGTAACTTTGAGAGCTGCTCAGCAATGTTTATCCACAAAGAAAGGATTTGTAATATCTTTTTCTTGGGTGTTCTTATTTACTATTATCTATTTCTTTATCCAAGATGAAGTCTCCTTAGTGCCGATAATAGTTCTTTGAATGAGATTTGGAGTAACGTTTGCTTTCAGTAGCTCATATTTCGGTAATCAAGAATACTTTGAGTCACATTACTTATCAACAGTTTTCGGAATCTGAAACGTTTTTGCCAGATCTTCAACAATATTTGCTCCTATCGTAGTTGAAATGATACCTCAACCAATCGTATTGATAACAATCTTCACATTGGCTTCAGCTATCACATCAACTGTTCTGAAGAGACAAACCGAAGGAAGCTTTCAAACTTCTGGCAAAAAGGGAAATATTCCTTTTGTGGAAGGCTCAGCAGTGGAGGGGAGAGATGTGGATTCGGGATTAGAGCAGAGGGAAGTTGAAGGGATTGATGAAGTTAGGAAAGAGGTGTTTTTGTTGGAGGATGACGATGAGGAGGATCAGAGTAACAATGCAGGAAAGTAATGTTGTATATGAATGATGGTTTAAAGCGGATTTTGGGGTCTTGTGGAGTAGATCATGAATGAGTTTTTATATTTGGTTATTTTCTTTGGAAAGTACTTTTATCTGATCGACAACAACTATGATTGTCTATATTGCTCTTTCTTAGGGACAATTTTGAATAATATAATCTCAGATTCATAGGAAATGTAGCTGTAGATTATAAATTTTAATCAGATTTAAACAAGGCCAGCCTGGAGATAATTTAAGTGGTGAGCAATCAACTACAATTTTAGCTTCATCAATTTGTTTATCGTTACTGGGACTATTTACTATTTGGGATCAAGATTAGATAAGGATTGGGAATTATTTGTAAGCTATATCAAAGATACTTTCTTTGGTTTCACAATGAAAGTGCTTAATAAAAGACTTGTGGACCAAATTTCCCCTAAAACAAAAATTTTGTTCCAAACTAGCCCCCTTTCACCCTCTCAAAAACTCCAAATTCACTGTAAGTGTCTTCACGGTGTTGCCATCTGCCCATATTCGCTGAACTACGCTCACCGACCTTTTCTCAACTTTAACTTAGCTCAGTTGTAAGCCTATGCTTTGTTTTTGGAATTTTAAGTGCTCCCAATGGAATTTTGGGAGCTGTTCGTGGTTGACTAACTTTCAGCTCGGATTTTTAACCGTGGGGTTTTGGGGTTTTGGGGTTTTGGGGTTTTGGGG